AGTATAGGGGAGGATAAGGACATATAGGTAATACCTTAATCAAGAAAGAAAATAAAAATAAAAAATATGTTTTTATTGATTTGAGACAGAAATAAAACGGTGAGGGAGAGAGAAACATTGATGACCGAGGTACATGGATCGGCTGCCTCCTGCATACCCCCACTGGGGATTGAGCCAGCAACCTGGGCATGTGCCCTGCCTGGCAATCAAACCGGTGACCTCTCAGTACATGGGACATCACTCAACCAACTGAGCCACACCGGCTAGAGCTGAGAAGCCTTTTTAATACTATATATCCTGCCTGCTCCCAGTGGTCTCACTAGAGCAGGGTCCAGGAGAGCAAAACCCAAGGATGATTCCACCCTCATGCTCAGGTGAAAAGCTGTACAGCCACTTCACCTCTATAGCAGAAGCTATACAGACTGCCATCATCATCTGGTTTACTTGTATTTATTTTTCAGAATTTTGTTTTTACATCACTTCCTCCAGAAAGCCTTCCCTGACAACTCTCCAGGCCTGGATAGGTATACCTCCTCCACCCACAGTATTTTCTTTCTTACAGAGCCTTAGCTCCACTGTGCTGTAAACAATAGCTATTTGTATGTTTCAACCACCAGACTGAGAGTTAAAAGAGGCCAGGGCCTGTGTTTTGTTCACCTTTATACCTTCCAATACCTACCACAGTGTCAGGCACATAGTAGGCATTGAACAAATGTCCGGTAGGTGAGACAATTAAGGTCACAACTAGAGGCCCAGTGCACAAAATTCATGCACTGAGGGGGGGGAGTCCCTCAGACTGGCCTGCATTCTCTCGCAGTCCAGGACCCCTCGGGGGCTTGCTGCTCTTTACCGCTCCGCTCGCTCACTGCTCCTTAGTGCTGCCGCGGAGGTGAGAGAGGTTCCTGCCACTGCCGCTATACTCACCAGCCGAGAGCCCAGCTTCTGGCTGAGCAGCGCTACCCCTGTGGGAGCGCACTGACCACCAGGAGGCAGCTCCTGCATTGGGTGTCTGCCCCCTGGTGGTCAGTGCGTGTCATAGCGACTGGTTGTTCCACAGTTCGGTCGATTTGCATATTAGGGTTTTATTATATAGGATGGCAACGCAACTCTGAATCAAGCATTCTATACCCCCACTTTATGATGAAACTGGGAAAACTCAGGGTTGTTGGTGTGTTGTTTTTCTGCTAACTAGTGCTCTCTTAGAGCCTCAATTACAGGGCGCTATAGACTGAAAGGCAAGGAAAGAGGTGAAGGGGTTTGCTTCTTCCAGTTTGTTTGTTGTTCCTGATAATCCTGTCCCAACAGCAGCCTTTCATCTAGGCCAGGGGTGGGGAACCTTTATTCTGCCAAGGGCCATTTGGCTATTTATAACATCATTCAAGGGCCATACAAAATTATCAACTTAACAATTAGCCTGCTGTATTTGGTCAAACATTTCATTAATTCATCCCTAATGCCTTGGCAGGGCTAAACCAAATGATTTCACAGGCCTTATCAGATGTTCCCCACCCCTGATCTAGGCAAATCTAGTTAGTTCGAGCTTCCTATTTCTTTCCACACTCTAGAACCAGTCTCACTGTACCCCCTCCGAAGTACCATTATCAGGCGGCTGCCCCTCAGAGGTCGGAATCATAGCTCCATGAGGTTTCCTCTTTAAGCTTCTGAGGCAGCAGCAGCTAGGCAGCACCCTCCCCTCCCCATGTGTGTCTAGGTCCTAGCTCTGCAGGAATCTTTTTTTGACTTTCTTAATTCTGATAATGCCATGTTTTCCCTTTGTCCTCTCAGATCTAAGGGTGGTAGTTGTTTCCTACATTCGTTATCTCTGTGTTGCTCCAGGGCTACACTTTTGAGTTTTCTCATTTCTTAAAAACCTATTTCGACAATTCTGTATATTTTTTTCAGAATAGTGTGGTTCTGGACCCTGAATGAAACAAAAATGGCGAGAGCACAATGTGCTCTGGGAGCTCAGAAGCAGATTCTTCACAAAGGCTGAGATGATTCAATAAAGTGAAATTGAGACATGAGCTGAGTTCCTGGAAAATAATTCAGCCAAATATAGAAGAGATAAGGAGAGAGGAAGAATACCAGGCAGAAGGAACAACATATACAAAGTTAGGGAGATCAGCCCTAACCGGTTTGGCTCAATGGATAGAGCGTTGGCCTGCGGACTCAAGGGTCCCAGGTTCGATTCTGGTCAAGGGCATGTACCTTGGTTGCGGGCACATCCCCAGTAGGGGGTGTGCAGGAGGCAGCTGATCGATGTTTCTCTCTCATCAATGTTTCTAACTCTCTATCCCTCTCCCTTCCTCTCTGTAAAAAAATCAATAAAATATATTTTAAAAAAACAAAAACAAAGTTAGGGAGATCAGAGAGAGAGCACAATGGGTCAGGGGACATGGAGTAGTTCAGTAGGTAGGGAATAGGATATGAAGAAACAGGAAATGCCTCACCGGTGTCACAGGAAATAAGGCAGAGCCATTAAAACTTGTTGACTAATTGAAGTGGGCAGATCGTCTTTGGAAAGGAGGGGAGAAGCCAAGGGTTACACCCAAGTGTCTTGCTTGTGTGACTGGGCGGAAGAACAGGTTTGGGAGAAGTTGATAAAGTGGTAAACATTTTCTGATTAGTCTTTCAAGAGCCGAAAGAAGCTAGGAACCAGCAGATTTAGAGTCCATATTTTCTGCTGCTACTATATTTCGTAGCTGTGTGACTTTAATCACTGAACTGCCTTGAGAGTCAGTTTAGTGTCAAGTAAACAGGGGGATAGCAATACAGTAAAACTGTGTATAATCATGAGGACAGTTCCATTTATGGAGCTCCTATTATATTAACCACCATAACAATACCAATAGCTAACGCTGATTGATTCATGTAAGGGCCTGTGCTGCATGCTTTACATATATTTTTCATTTAAAAATGTTTATCAATTTTGAGAGAGAAAAAGGAAGGGAGAGGGAGAGAAAGAGAAAAACATCGAAGTAAGAAAGAAACATTAATCGGTTGCTTCTTGCATGCACCCCGAACCCATAACCTGCCCCAACCAGGAATTGAACCTATGGGACTACTCTCAATCAACTGAGCCACATAGGCCAGGGCCATATATTTTTCATTTTGCCAATATTTTAATTACAAATACAATAGAAACAGAATGAACACAGTAAAGCCATTTGGGTATACTTTAAGGGAGGCAGGAAAACCACTGATGTTACACATAGAATGACTAAACTTACTAAAATTATTTCTCAATCCATCCATGGCTTCTCTCTATCCAAATCTTCAATCCTTTCATAGCTACTGCCCTGCCCCACTCTCCCTACCCCCATCAGCAGCCTCTCCACTCTCCTATGTGTAGGCCCACCCATCATTTTCAACGAGGACAGAAATTTAATTCTCTCTCAGATCTTTATTAGTATCCTCACACACACAAAAAAGTTCTACAACATAAGACCTCCCTCCTTATGACTCACACTCCTTAAAATAGAAAAATAAAAGTAACAGAATTTCCTTTTCTCAAATATTTAAAGACATACTGTCAACAAATGAACCACAAATTACATTTCAATAAAAACCCAGTGCAGAATCCGGGGAAACACCTACGGGATGAGGAGCTGCTAAAAGTGTTGGGAGGATGGTACCAGCGTAGAGCTGGTCCATAGAAAAAGGAAGAGGACAAGGTAGAATGGAACATACAGACACGCTGTACTTCTGTTCCTGTGAGTTTTGGCACCAGATGTCTACATATTTGGATCATGGCTCTATCACATATTACCTGTACGACACTAGGCAAGTAACTTAAATTGTCTGGGTCACACTTTTCACATTTACAACATAGCAAATGTAGTATTTTATGGAAAAGCTTTTGAAATGATTAAATTCAAAATGTATAAAGTGCCCCGGCCAGTGTGGCTCAGTGGTTGAGCATCAACCTATGAACCAGGAGGTTATGGTTAGATCCCTGGTCAGGGCACATGCCCGGGTTGTGGGCTCAGTCCCCAGTGGGGGGTGTGCAAGAGGCAGCAGATCAATGAGTCTCTCTCATCATTGATGTTGCTATCTTTCTTTCCTTCTCTCTTCCTTTCTGAAATCAATAAAAATATATTAATGAGTCCATTCTTTATAAAAATTACCAAAAAATGTATAAAGTAACTATAAAGCATAATCTATTTCATGTAGCATTGTATTTCATAAAAATATTTTAAATATTTATAATTTCATAATACTGGTTTTCATTTTATTTACATGTACAGTAACTATCAAGTGATATTTTTCAATTTTTGTAGTAATATAAGCTTTTATTTAAAAACAATTGACTTAAGTGATACAATTTAATAAGTATATTAATTAACAATAGAGTTGCTATGCCAACAAGACAAAAATCTTGAAGGTGCTATATGAATAAAATCTGGAAAATGCCGCTCTAGATCATGGTATGATAAGAACTGTGCTGTGTAGGATGCCACTGGAAAACAAATCCAAATTTTGTCCCTCTAATACTTCACAGCTCCCTGGAAGAGTTTACTTGGTAACTGAGACACAGAAATCACATATATAATATCTTTTAAAAATACCATCTCCTATACTAAATCCACATTGGAATGTGTAGTAGTAATGGAGCGTTCTCTTTATTAGAGTTGCTACCAAAAACTCATTATTCCAATAAGCGCTCAATGATGCCTACCAAGTTCAGGCCTTGTTCTGGGTGATGAATATGTAAAAACCAACAAAATGTATTCTTTGTCATCAAAGATCTTAAAGTCACTGGGAGGTGAGAGGAAGCAGTCAGAAACATAAAAGCTCAACAAAGGCAAGAAGTGTTGCATTATAAGTTAGGGTACGTCCCAGTGAGAAACCAAAGGAAGGACACAGAGGAAGAGGAGTCCAGGAAATACGCCAAGATGGCATGGCCACAGAAACAGGACAAAAACCATGACAGAGTAAAAATGCTCACCTGTACTTGACAATTCCATTGATCAGTGGGTTCACATCCACGATTCTGTTGATATAAGCCTGAATGACATCTATGCATTTCACCTGCAAAATACAATAATTTATTTAACAGGTGTTTATTTGAAGAACTATTTATCCATCCAACAAGCACTTTTTATTTAGGTCATCTTCAATGAATTATCCAATCCAGTCCATTGTGAGGAGGTAAAAGATGTCTACTTTGAAGCTAAAAAGTCACACATATGCCAGTATTAGAAGGCTCTGAACAATGGGTAGGGTAAAAGATATAAGCTCCCCTTTAAGTAAATAGAAATTGGAGTCCAGAGATATGATGTATATATACTCAACTAGCAAATATTTTTCTAGTAAATAACTAGTATAATGATAGATACCATTTTATAGCAATACCCTGAAATTTAACGGTATACATCACCTTTGCAAAATCTAGGAGTTGAGGAGTGGAGACAAAGCACATTAAGGCACAGTTTCCAGATAAAATAAAGGACACCAAGTTAAATTTTAATTTCAGATGAATAGCGAATAATTTTTAAGTAGGTCCTAAATATTGCATGGGGATAATTTTACTAAAAAGTATTCATTGCTTATTTGAAATTAAAATTAAACTGAGTGTCCTGTATTCTATTTTGCTAAATCTGGCAACCCTAGGCAAAGGGTCTTAGTTTAGGAATATGAGGAGAGGTAAGACAAGTAAAACACCTGGGAGGGAGTTCTTAAGGATTAGCATTTATCTATTACTAGAAGCCTGGTGCACAAAATTCGTGCATGTGGGGGGGGGTGTCCCTCAGCCCAGCCTTCACCCTCCCCAATCTGGGACCCCCACAGGGATCGGGCCTAAACCGGCAGTCGGACATCCCTCTCACAATCCAGGACTGCTGGCTCCCAACCACTCACCTGCCTGCCTGCCTGATTGCCCCTAACCGCTTCTGCCTGCCAGCCTGATCACCCCTAACCACTCCCCTGCCAGCCCGATTGATGCCTAACTGCTCCCCTGCTGGCCTGATTGCCCCTAACTGTCCTCCCCTGCAGGCCTGGTCGCCCTTAACTGCCCTCCCCTGCTGGCCCAGTCACCCCTAACTGCCCTCCCTTGCCAGCTTGCCCACAACTGCCCTCCCCTGCCAGCCATCTTGTGATGATGTGGGGGTGGCCATCTTGTGACGACATGAGGGCGTAGTTGTGTGAGGGCGCGAGGGCCACCTAGGCTTTTATTAGTATAGATATACAATTATAGTTTTAATGATAACTTTTACACATGGGACAATAAGCATTAAGAAATTAAAAAGCAAAATAGAACTCCCAAATAAACAGGAAAGAAAAGGAAAAAGAAACTAGATCAAGCCAGAAAAAAGTAAGGAAAGGGAAGTGAGAGAGTAGGTACAATGAATTATGAACATTATATCAAATGGAAGGAATTAAGCAAATTACAGCATAATAAGTGAGGACTGAATTCCTCTATCAAAGAGCAGAGACAACATCGTTTTTTTTTTGTTCACTTGTTTTCACTGAACCCTGCTCATAGGACAGTTCGGATACAGACACTCACCTGTGCTGAAGAGAGGGAAAAGGTGCGGACGAGTGGAATCTGGGGAGAGGCTGAGGAGAGAGGGGGGGCCGGGAGAGGTGGCAGCGAATTGAGTGCTGAGACACGGAGCTACCATCTGGCCTATAGAGAAACTTTCAGTCCCACCAACAACGCAGAGCAGGGTAACGATTATTTAAGAACCAGCTCTGGGCAGTAGTTCTCCCCAAACCAGTTTTAAGTAGAGAAGCCGTATAGCCTCAGAGGCCAACCCCAAAACACTGCCACCCAGAGGCTGAGCCACAAACTGACTCTTAGGTGAACACAAATTAAGGCAGTCTGGATCACAAATACGGCCTGCTTTAAAATCAGGACTGTGATTTACAACACGGAGGAACAGTGTATCACAGGGAAATTCAACACTCTCAAAACACTGCGGCTGAGCCACAAACTGACTCTTAGGTGAACACAAATTAAGGCAGTCTGGATCACAAATACGGCCTGCTTGCCTGCTTTGACTGTGATTTACAACACGGAGGAACAGTGTATCACAGGGAAATTCAACACTCTCCTAAATACCTGGCAGGACTAAGCAGATCCAAGCAACAGCAGCCTCCTGATCACCACACCCTCTGTCTGAGGAACAGCAGCTGTACGTGAAGCCTCCCCCCACCAGCCAGAAGAGCCACCACAGCTGTGAACAACACCCACCAGAGGAGCTGCTGCCAACTGAGGAGCAGCTGCTACCGCAACCACCCAAGGAGCAACCACAGCCCAAGGAGCCACTGCCACCCAGGGAGCAGCCACTGAACGACTCAACATCTAGATATGTCAGTGAGATCAAACATGGGTAGGCAAAGAAACCCCCAAAGGAAAGAAAAGGAGGACTCGCCAGAAAAGCAGCTAAGTGAGACAGAGGCATGCAACATGACAGAAAAAGAATTCAGAATAAGGGTCCTAGCGTGCATAAACCGGATGGAGGAAAAAATCAACTACTTATGCAAGAAGCAAGAAGAAACAGATGAAAAAATCAATAACTTATGCAAGACCCAAGAAGAAATGAAGAGCGATATAGCTGCAATAAAAAACACCATTGAAAGCATCAACAGTAGACTAGGAGAAGCGGAGGACCGAATTAGTGAATTAGAAGACAAGGAAGCAAAACACACCCAAACTGTACTGCAATTGGAGAAAAAAATTAAAAGACAGGAGGAGAGCCTAAGGGAGCTTTGGGACAACATGAAACGAAACAACATACGAATAATAGGGGTGCCAGAACAACAGAAAGATGAACAAGGATTAGAAAACCTACTCGAAGAAATAATATCAGAAAACTTCCCTGAAGTGGGGAAGAAAAAAGTCACACAAGCACAGAGAGTCCCAAACAAGGTGAACCCGAAAAGACCCACACCAAGACACATCATAATTACCATGGCAAATGTTCAGGACAAAGAGAGAATCTTACAGGCTGCAAGAGAGAGACGGAAAGTTACATACAAGGGATCTCCCATTAGATTATCAAATGATTTCTCAACAGAAACACATCAGGCCAGAAAAGAATGGACAGAAATTTACAAAGTGATGCAAAGCAAAGGACTGAACCCAAGAATACTCTATCCAGCAAGGCTATCATTCAAAATTGAAGGGGAAATAAGAAGCTTCACAGACAAAAAAAGGCTAAGGGAGTTTATCACCACCAAGCCAGCAATGCAAGAAATGCTAAAGGGACTGGTGTAAAAAGAAGGAATAAAAAGCTCAGAAAGAAAACAGCCACACAAAAAAAGAAATGGCTACAAACAAGTACCTTTCAATAATAACTTTAAACGTAAACGGACTAAATGCTCCAACCAAAAGACATCGAGTGGCTGAATGGATAAAAAAACATGACCCATACATCTGCTGTCTACAAGAGACCCACCTCATTAGAAGGGACTCACACAGACTGAAAGTGAAGGGATGGAAAAATATCTTTCAGGCAAATGGAAAGGAAAAGAAAGCTGGGGTAGCAATACTTATATCAGACAAAATAGACCTCAAAGTGAAGGCCATAACCAGAGATAAGGAAGGCCACTTCATAATACTAAAGGGATCAATACAACAAGAAGATATAACCCTGGTAAACATATATGCACCCAATGCAGGAGCACCCAAATACATAAAAAAACTCCTGGAAGATATCAAAGGAGAGATCGACAACAATACAATCATAGTAGGGGACTTTAATACACCACTGACATCACTGGATAAGTCCTCTAGACAAACAATCAGCAAAGAAACAGCAATCCTAAATGACTCACTAGATCAGATGGACTTAATAGACATCTTCAGAACACTTCACCCAAAGCCGCGGAATATACATTCCACTCAAATGCTCATGGGACAGATTCAAAAATAGACCACATATTGGGTCACAAGCAAAGTCTCCCCAAATTCAAGAAGATTGAAATCATAAAAAGCATCTTCTCAGACCACGATGGCATAATATTAGAAATAAACTACAATAAAAACAACCCAAAATACTCAAACACTTGGAAGCTGAATAGCATGTTATTAAATATTGATTGGGTTACCAATGAGATCAAAGAAGAAATTAAAAACATCCTGGAAACTAATGACAATGAAAACACAACAATCCAAAACCTATGGGACACAATGAAAGCAGTCCTGAGAGGGAAGTTTATAGCTCTACAGGCCTATCTCAAAAAACAAGAAAAAATGGTAGTAAATCATCTAACTCTTCAACTCAAAGAATTAGAAAGAGAGCAACAAGAAAACCCCAGAGTGAGCAGAAGGAAGGAGATAATAAAGATTAGAGCAGAAATAAATGACATAGAGACCAAAAAAACAATACAGAAAATCAATGAAACCAAGAGCTGGTTCTTTGAAAGGATAAACAAGATTGACAAACCTCTAGCCAGGCTCACCAAGAAGCAAAGAGAGAGGACCCAAATAAACAAAATCAGAAACGATAGAGGCGAAATAACAACAGACCCCACAGAAATACAAATGATTGTTAAAAAATACTATGGACAGCTCTACTCCAACAAACTAGACAACCTGGAGGAAATGGACAAATTCCTAGAAAAATACAACATTCCAGCACTCAATCAGGAAGAATCTAAAAATCTCAATAGGCCAATAACTATGGAAGAAATTGAAGCAGTCATCAAAAAGCTTCCAGCAAACAAAAGCCCAGGACCAGACGGCTTCACAGGGGAGTTTTACCAAACATTCAAGGAAGAACTAAAACCTATCCTCCTCAGACTACTACAAAAAATTCAAGAGGAAGGAACACTTCCAAGCTCATTCTATGAAGCCAGCATCACCCTAATACCAAAACCAGGTAAAGACAACACAATGAAAGAGAATTACAGGCCAATATCCCTCATGAACATAGATGCCAAAATCCTCAACAAAATCTTAGCAAATCGGATCCAGCAGTACATCAGAAAGATCATACACCATGACCAAGTAGGATTTATTCCAGGGATGCAAGGATGGTACAATATCCGCAAATCAATAAACGTGATACATCACATAAACAAAT